CAACTCCAACGGACCTTGGATGAAGCAGATTATCTAGACACTTTTCAGTCTGGTTTCAGGCCTGGTTACTGCACTGAAACCACTTTGGTTGCACTGACCGATGATCTCTGGCGGGCCAGGGACAGAGGGCATTCCTCTGTCCTTGTACTCCTTCACCTCTCAGTGGCCTTCGATACCATCAACCATGGTATCCTTCTGCGATGGCTGGAAGAAGTGGGAGTGGGAGGCACCGTTTTGCGGTGGTTCTCCTCTTACCTCTCCGACAGGTCGCAGTCGGTGTTGGTCGGAGGATAGAGGTCGACTCCTAGGCCCCTCAATTATGGGGTGCCGCAGGGGTCGGTCCTGTCCCCCCTCCTATTTAACATCTACATGAAGCCACTGGGCGAGATCATCCGCCGGCACGGGATTAAATACCACCAGTATGCGGACGATACTTAGCTGTATCTGTCCGCCCCATGCCAACTCAGTGAAGCGGTGGAAGTGATGTGCCAGTGTCTGGAAGCTTCGGGATTGGGCGGCATAGAAACTTAATAAATTTAATTCAATTCAATTCAATCATCCCCAAAGTGTTAGAAATTATATGCAGTACCAAAATTGGATGGAAAAAAAATCAATAAATAGAAAGACATAAAGTCCTCTTCAAAATATAGTTCTTTATGTCCCTTTCTGTTCAAAAGTGAGAGCTGAAGCTAGCTACATTTTAAAAATATCATTTTAAAGAAATGAGGCAACAAGGCAACATCCATATGAGTAGATACTGTACGCATCAACAGGAGAGGCTAATTTCATGAAAATTGCCAAAAAATATTCAGGCTAAGTGTTAACATTTATTATATTGCCTGGGGCAGAACCTGAATCTTCCGCACGTGAAGCATTTTTTTGTTATGATCAGTGCCTCCACAGATGGAGCCGGAAAGCCAAACTGAAAGGAAGAAAGGCTAACACTGTTGTAGAAATCCTTTAATATGAATTTATGCACTATTTTAAAAGGAGAAATTCTACAACAATCTTGTTTTTATTATTTTGTTTTTATTCATGCTACCTTTAGTTTTCATTTCATTTTTCTTAAATAAATTCTAAGAAAAGAAAAATGATACTTTATCCAGTGGAAAATAACTTTTGGATACAACTGCCACAAGCCCCCCTCCCTTGTTCACTACAACAACAATGAAATATAGCAAACAAACTAGAAGCATTTTAGATATATTGTTTACCTATCTGAAAAAATCCATCCCAAGTTTTTATGATGGTAATGTGGTTTGAATTGTTTCTTACAGTCTGTGAATTAATATCCTGAAACAAATAAAAGGAATAAAATTTCAACCAGTCTTTGGAAAAGAAAGCAACATCTTCTTGAGCACATTTCTGTTATGTGAAATTCAGCTAGAGTGCAGTGAAAATTCCCCTGACTAGGGTACGTGCTTATTGCTGTGTTTAAAAAACCACCACCACCAAATCTCTCTAGGAAGAAATTTTTGCTCCGACTAGGTGACATAATTTCCAACAGGTTATTCCAAATGAGGAATATTGTCAAATCGCTGTTTAAGCAGAAACAAAGTAGGGGCAGAAAGTAATAATGAAGGGGCCGCTATAATTGCTTGCATTATGTTCTCCATGATATCCAACTACTACAATGAAAAAAAAAAATCTTAAGAAATTTTAAAAGGCAAATGGTTATGAATAGAATAGAATGGAACAGAATAGTTGGAAGGGACCTTGCTCAGGCAGGAAACCCTATACCATTTCAGACAAATGGTTGTCCAATGGTTATCATTTATCAGAATGTTGAAGAAACTGTATCCTATTTAGAGGATAGCAGCCTAATAGATTAGGGATAGTGGATAGAAATATAAAGCAGAAATAAACTTCTCTTCTTACTTTTCTAGAAAAGCTTCACATTGATATAGGCAGAAATACTTACATTGCTAGGTAAAACTTCTACAGTAGTGTTAAACAATATGTCTTTACGGTGTTTAAAATTTCCACTTCTGAATAAATATCTGCAGGACAAATTGCATAAAAGCATAAGGAAATTTACCATTAATATGAAATTGTGGGCTCTTATTGTGAGACATGTTCACCTTATTGTTTAGAGAAAATGCTTCTAGAAGAGTTTACAAACAAAAAGTGAATTATAGTTATAAGAAGTCTTGGATGTGTTTGTTCCATCTGCAATGTTAGGAATAAAGCATTAACAAAGATTGGAACTACTATTAAGCATTATCCAGCAATGTCAGATAACATTCTCTACATTTGCTATTTTAGTTAAAAACATTTCAGATCACAGGATAGGAACAATAGAATCTTAATGTTATCTCATTTGTCAATTTCCCATTCATATGACTTATTGGAACTTTTTTCACTTTGAGAAAAATTAAGGCAAGCCTAGTTGGCCAATTTTGTTGTGGAAAAATCATTTCATTAGAGACCACTTTGTATCAGGTGACAAATTACCTTATTATTTTCAATGGTTTCTCAAAACTGAACAAAATATAATCTCCTACTTTAGGAGTAAAAGCCCAAAATATTTCTATTCCATTGTAAGCCTTTTCTAGAGTAAACTGCTGAAATACTTTTAAGCTTGTTTTCATTTTTGCAGGAGGGTTAACATGTTCCCTAAATAATGATGTTTCGACAAAATCTTCATCCTGTAAAATATAGATGTATATTCACATGTAAAAACACTATTTTACAAAGTTTTGTCAAAACAGTTAAGCACAAATTATAATCTTGGAATATAACAAGAATTGGGAATCACCTGCTAAAGCCAATATGGGGAAGATTCAGAACCTACACAAAAATAAGTGTTCCTTGTGTTAGATCGGGTGAATGTATGCGGTAGACTCAGGCTTCAGCAACAAACAGCTCTTTATTAAGTGACAACTATGTACAATCCTGCAAAGACTCTGTCTGGCATCAGCCCTTTTATAGGGAGCTGTCAGACCTTTCAACCAATCAGATTTGAATACTGTTCCCGCCGGAACAGAGGACCTTGGTGGAAACTACCATAATATTTGTCAGTATGTAACACCTTGCTAACCAGAATAATGAAAAAACAATCATACCTGCATTGTGATGTCACAACTCAAACTACAATGTGTCCTCATGTCCTTATATCAGGCTAAATAAATCGTGGGATTTTTGTTGCAACATCACAATCTATGTGTCACCACGCCCCATCACCACACACTCATAGTTGCCTGTGATAGTACCATATTGACTGAGTAATTATAGTATCCCAAATAATTAGTTGTCAATTTATCAAATTACAGCTTGTCCTACTGATAAGGACAGAAGCAGCTGTTGGAAACAAAGAAATAGGCAGAGGTACAATAGACTGCAAATACTTCTGCTGAAGAATGTGGATGTTTAATTTTGTTCCTGGGTCCTTTTCTTTCCAGGTGCTACACTTTTTAAAAAAATGCCATTTTCTGCCTTCCCTTTCTTTTCATGGTTCCACCACAAAACCGCGGACGACAAAATCGCGGTCGACGAAAGCGCGCATTTGACGTCATCACAGNTCAATACACAGTGCATCAAGATAATGTAGTATCAACATTACATTTGAGAGCAGGAAACAGGTAATTTACCAATGTAGTGGGAATAGGTTTTTTAATTAATGACATTCACACTCTAGAATTCTGTGTACATAACATATTCTATGCCCAGAAGTATAGCTAGTCCTGAGCATTCATTTATTTCCAAAGGCTTTCAGTTCCTTGAGTGACTTTTGGACAAAATTATTTATTATATTATGTTTTTTCGTTAATTTTTTCTTCTTTTTCTTATTCTGCACTGTTCAGTATGTGTTACTTGGATAATGTGTTAAAAACTATAAAATAATCAGTTCAATAGTCCTGTAAAATCATTCTGCACTTATTTGCACACTAAATTCCTACATTTACTCTTCTGATACGGTTTTAAGAATCTTAGCTAGGAGCATTTTTACATACAGTATATGTCACACACATAAAATTTCCATAGCAAACCATACTGAACATTCTTTTTAAAAAATCCAAATCTTCTTGCCTGAAATCTGATAGCTGTCCTCCCCTTCAAAGAAATTATTATGTTTCCAGATTATATTTAGTTATGATCAAAGAGTATATCTGTCATTTCCGTAATTCTACCCTATGCTCATTAAAAATGACAAATATTTTTCTGAAGAAATATGAAGAAGTATGAAGAAATATGTGTGAAGAAAATTCGAACTCTACAGCCCTGAGTGAATTGCAGTCTCATTTTGGACAGTGTATTCATTAAATGTGTTTACTGCATACAGTTATAGGGAGGAGAAAATCAATAGGACTATTTTCAGCTGGAGTTGGTAACCTATCTTAGCAAGATATGGAAGATGTAAAGTGCACAATTTGTTCTTTTTTTCTTCCATCAATTCTTCCTTCTTGAAAGGAAATAAACTGAATAGCAATTGCAGCTGGGGATGACTGATGCAATATATATAAATATAACTTATCAGTAAATTTTATTGATGGAAGGATGAGATAACACAATTCAATTTTTACACTGGGGGGGGTCATAGCCCAACAAAATGTCAAAATAAAATAAGGAAAATTAAAATCTTAATCAAATACTGAATAAAATTTGTCATCTGAAAGAAAATGTAAAAGTATGTCATTTTTGCAACATCATGTTTTGCTATTTTTATTTGTTTTGATGTATTGCTAATTGAGTTCACCTATAGTTTTACAGCTGGTATTTAAGTGTGTATTTATGCATAATTTTTTTTTGTCTATAACCACATTTTCTTCTGTTATGTTTGTACAGAAGCATAGTCTTTTTTGTTCAGACAATTTAAACATTTTTATAAAGAGTTGTTGGCAACAGATTATAATTACAATAATTCAATTTATTAATTACATTAATAATTAATGTAAGTCAATATTTTCTATGCATAATATAATTAATCTCTCTCCTAGTCTCACCACACAGAATGGTATTAGGAAGAAATAGCATTCTATTGTTGATAATTTTCTTGCTACCACTAGATGGCCTTGTTTCCATACTGCTTTTAGACTTTCAAAATCTCAAAGAAGTCTGTAATTCTTTATTTCAGGTCTGTATAAATATCTGCATTAGAACAAAAGAGAAGCTATTTCTCAACATGGTAAGTATAAAGTACAATTTACAATGCACATTCTCTCAATATCTTTACACATTTTCTTCCAAATATCTCACCATGGTATTTTGGAAATCTTTGAAATATAATAATACCCATTTAAAAATGTAGAATTTCATGCAGTAATTGTATCAAAAATTCTGACTGAGAATGCATCAATAACAGACAATTTTTTTTAAAAAAAATTAATAGGTAATTTTTTGAACGTACTACTTTTATTATTATGTTTATTTATTTTGAAAATTAAATAAATGGAGAACAGCTTACAACCTCTCTCTAAAACAGAAGTTCAAAAGAATTGTGAATGCGAGAAACAGAATAAGTTTGAAAAGGCTCTATTTACTCCAAATTAATTACAGAAACATATTTCTAAATTTATTAAAACAAAAATATTTTAAAAATTATTGCAATGGTACTTAAGATGGTGGTAAGTTAATTATCTCGATAGTAACAATCTGTACCTACCTCGTTTAGTAATATCCATTTGGAAGAATTAGAATGGATAAACAAACGTAAAGCTTTTATCTTTCCTAAAAATGGGGGAACGGCACCCTCTGCTACTCCATCTTCAAAGTTATCTATTAATAAATGAAAATATTATTTCTGGTGTATTCTGAAATTATTTTTTAGCATAACATCCTGCCATAAAGAACCAAAAATGATATGCTTTAAATCAGAGTACAAATATTTGTGAAGATAACTGACATTTTCAGTAAAAAATAATTGCAAGCCAAAATTAAAGAGAGTCAGTATGTCTAGTGGTTAAGGTAGCAGGATAGAAAGCAGGAGATCATGACTTCAAGTCCCACATTAGCCATTAAAGCTGGCTAGCTGACCTTAGCCAGTCACTCTCTTTCAGCCTAACTTGTTCACAGAGTTGTTGTGGGAGATGTGTTGGGTATGCTTGTTGCCTTGAGTTATTTGTAAAAATAATAAAGGCAGGATACAAATAAATTAAATAATAAATTAAAAATGAAATAATGAGGATTCATAGACACTGTTACAGAAATTCAATGTCTTGAAACACCATAAATGTGTATGCCTTGTAAAAATATATAAAACTGCAGATGCAATTAAACTGACATATTGCCACCAAATGGAAATTTGGTGCACAAACAGCATAGTAGTGAATGTGCATAATGGACACCAGTATAAAATGCTGCAGCTTGCAATAAGACCACATGATTTCCTCAGTGCTGCTTATACACCTGTAAATGTATTTAATATTTTGTTAAAAAGATAATATAATTCTGGACAGTTCTACTCCAAAGTAAATCCAAATGAATTCAATAATAAATAAATATAAAATGTAACTTTACTTTCTGAATACTTATTGCTTCTATTACAATGGAAGAAATAAACATACATTATCTGTCTTTAAAGCCGAATAATTTATATTTTGTATTTCATTTGGAATGTTAATTTATATCACTACCCAGGCAATATATGTATTTGAATGATGTTAAACTTGAAATATACGCTCTACATGAGGTTTCCCTTGAAGACCATCTGGAAGCTTTAACTGGTGCAGAGAGTAGCTGCATAGACAATTATGTGTCTCTCTATTATGGTGCATGTTATATCTTTGTTCTGTAAGCTGCATTGGCTGCTGATCTGCTTCCAAGTGTAATTCAGGGCCCTAGTTTTGACCTTTAAATTCCTATGTGGCATTACACCAGGTTATCTGAGAGTCCACTTCTTCCTGATTACATCTCCCTATCCCATCTGGTCCAGTAGGATGGGGATATTGCAGGTCCCATCTATTCAACAGCTCCAGCTGATGGGACCCAGAAATATTCCTTTTTAGTTTGGGCTCCTACCTTCTGAAACATCATCCTGTCCCCAGGTGAAGTTAGCTCTATCTCTGCTACCTTTCTCAAAGGACCTTAAAATGTGATTTTTTCCCCCCAACATGTTTGGAGATCCCATTGGAAGTCTGAGAGGTGGCTCGATTGTGTTTAACTGATTATTATTCTCCTGAAATCTTGATTTTTAATTAATTATTTTAATGTTATGTATTTTTAAATGATATTAGTTGTGTGCAGAGTCACATTCAGTAATCTATTTATCTATCTATCCATCTATCCAGCCATCCCATTTCCCTGAAAATAAGACCTCCCCGTGTGACCATACTCGCTGCCTCCTGCACCTCAAAAATATTAAGACCACCCTGAAAATAAGGCCAAGTGCTTATTTCGAGGGTCAAAAGAATATAAAACCCTGTCTTATTTTTGGCACAGTATATATACACACATATACATACATACATACATACATACATACATAGATAGATAGATAGATAGATAGATAGATAGATAGATAGATAGATAGATAGATATAGAGGTGTGTGTGTATGTATGTATAT